TTATAACCGATCAGGGTACAACCTTTACAAGCAAAAAGTTTCGGGACTTTATAGTTTCTAAGGGTATTAAACATGTCCTTAATGCTGTCGCCACCCCTAGAGCGAATGGCCAAGTAGAGCGGTACAATCGCACAATTCTGGCTGCACTCGGTGCAATGACCCACGAAAAGCCTATAAATGTGTGGGATGAGTACCTGCCTGACGTTCAACTAGGAATCAATACCACTGTTCATGCCATTACGAAAAAGACTCCAACAGAGCTTTTATTTGGCCATAGAATTACAAATCCTTCCGAAGGGATCCTTAATGACATCATCGAGGACGTTAATGAAAATGAGGTTGCCCCTAACTTAAACACCATCAGACAGGGTGCAAAGCTTCTTATAGATAAGCAGCAACATAAATATAAAGAACGATCCGAAACTCGCGTGAAAAATAACATAGCCCTTAAGGTAGGCGATCTTGTAAGTGTTTTGAGAACTATCCCTAGCCAAGAAGGGCAGTCTCGTAAGTTAGAACCAAAATAGAGGGGCCCTTATCGAATTAAAAAAGTTTTACCGAATGATAGGTACATTATCGAAGATACACCACTAATAAAAATGGGTGGACGTTATGAAGCAATTGTTGCAATTGATAAGTTGAAACCATGGCTAAATTTACAGAGTGCCAATGATGATAGTGATGGCTCAAACAGTAGCAGTAAGGACGATGATGACCAAAGTCATTGATTGTTCGTTAAGTCGTATTATAATTACTATTCATTATTCATTATGTGTCACTAGGGCTTAATTTTTTTTATATAGTTTGGGCAAGTGTTAAATAGATATTTGTTTATTCGAACACCAAATGAAATGTACAAAATGTACAATGTATTGTATATAAACATGTACTTTTATTTAATTTTTATTCATGTATGTTTGTGATTTTTATTGTGCTCACAATATTCAGGGTGTGCACATTAATATAAGATTATATTATGCTCATGATATTCAGGGTGAGTATAGGAAAGAGTTTGCTCATAACATTCTAAGCACAAGATAAATGAACTCACAATATTCAGGGTGACGTCACTACCTGGTCAACGTCCTGTGTAGTCTGCTGATTCTGGTCCAGAGTAGTAAATTGAATGTAAGATTTTACTATAGTGGATGGTAACAGACACTGTAGACTTTACTGGGCGTAGGGTTTTGCTTGAATGACATGTAATAATATTACCTAAGCTTTAATATTATTGTAAAAATATTATGCTATTGTTATTTACCTAGAAATAAAAGTAGTTTAGTAAAGTTAGTTTAGCCATTAAAAAAAACTTTTTTAATGACTAAACCAAACTCACAACGATGGGACTCGTTGCAGCAAAAGGATGGCCGAGTTGTAATAAATGATGTTAATAATCATAATTAATCCTATTATTAATTATTGTTACACCGTAATTAAATATTGTAAGTAGTTAATATATTCCACTACAATTGAAATGACAATATATGTAACTTAGAAGTATTGAAACTACTAAAATACCCTTCCGCCTGGCAGTGGAAGGGGGACTATAAAACGGAATGACGGGCGTGTCCGAGGTAATAAAATAGAATTTGTGCTGTAATAGTCGTGTCGGAGTGAACTAGTGTAAATTGAATGTTTATAAAGTTGATTAATTAATTGTTGAAATATAAAAGAGAATAAGTTTAAATTGTGTTTATTTAACATGAAATATAGAGTGTTAACCGTGAACTGAAGTTTCTTTTTACATCATATAGAGTAATAACTGTGTACTGAAGTTTGTTTTTACATAACTCTGCTATCATAATGCTTATGCATCATAGAGACCTTCTATATTAATGCTTTAGTTCGTTAGACCTTACTATGATAAGTCCCTAATATAGGACTAGTCATTGTGCAACCTTAGTACTAGCAGTCGATCAGCCGACCACCCCATATATATGTACACCCTTGGGTATGCGTCTCCGGCAACGCCCCCATATAAGGGAACATTACAAGAACACCTTCAACTTAGAAATTTTCCCATTATTACAAGAACACCTTCGTTAACTTAGAAAATTTTGATCCATTTTTTCTATTATATTACAAATGTTATTTATCTTTATTATTGCAATATAATCGACTTGTATTTATATGATTTAATACATTTTGAATATTTTAATTAATAAAATTTTTAGAGACAATTTATGCGTTAACTATACTATAATATTCAATATTCCAAATGAATATATTTGAACTTTATACTTAATATTGCATTTTAATTGCTTAAAATATATTTTTAAATGCCTTTACATTGAATTTAATTATAATTAATAATAATAATCATGAGGCGTCACACTATTTACATACATAGTTTACTAATTGTCGCTTTCAAAATGAGTGCTTATTATAGCTATTGTTTGTAGATGAATCTATAAAAAAATTATTTAAAACCAGGTAATTACAAATAACTTTGAGTTTATTTATATAATCGAATTCGTACCAAAATGTGACCTTAGAGGGATATTATCTTTTGCTACATGTTAATGAAATCTAATAACCATACACATAATTGTGGAAGTTTAAATTAAGCCCACTAATGAAATTACAGTTCGTTTTAGTTGGGTTCAAATGCAATGTTTGCCACAAATATGTTTTAACATGTGAATCTTTTCAATTGGTGCAAGTGCCAACTATTTCACCCATTGCTTGCATCTGAAAAAATAATATAAATAAAATCACATTTTACTGAACAAATAGAATGTTAGCAGTCACAATTGACTGTATAGTTTCTAAGTATAGTTCGTTTCGGATCGCCATACTATCGAACTATCAGATTTGGGAAATATTGTGTTTGTATTTGTGCACACACTCGTACACTATAAAACCCTGTCTTACATAGATGGCTAGTCCAAAAATTTACTCGCGTTAAATATCATACTACTATTAAAATTGAAATCACCACATAGCTCTAATCATCTAAGAGAAATATTGCGACGAATAGCCTTATCTTGTTATAATTTTTTCCGCTTCTTGCACCATGTAATTAAAAAGTTTTATAATGCACATTTAATTTCTTAACAATTCTGTAACTGAAAAACGGCTCAAAATTAAAAGCAATCTAAATAAATAGAATATATACAAATATAATTGTTTGATTTGACATTTGAACCTATTTGATTTGACAATGTCGTTAATAGACATATTACGAAAAGCAGAAACAAGAGATAAGTAACCGTCATTAAAAGAACAATGGCCAAATTTCTATAGGTGCTGGACTTGACTTTTATCTTTCATGTCCCAAAACAAACTATAGCTAGATTTGTTTGTTTTTATGTTGTAAACACCATCCCGTTTGAAAATCATATCTAAATAACCACGTAACAATAATCCAATAACGTGAACAATACTTTTGAGATTAGCGTCACATATGTAATCTTCTTCAGTGATCTAAAATAAGCATTAGATATGTATTACGATGTAGGATTATGTGGAATGGTTTATGTTAGTGTAATAAAATAAGTGGGTATGTAAATATGTACTATTACTGAAGAATTCCACTCGCGGATCTTAGAAATTACTCTGGTATCAAGCTCAAAAACGAGATGGCGGCGAAGTGTATCAATGCATATGTTACAATTATATATATAATACAATCGCAGGGCTAGTTGTGATTGTTGTGTAGCTGTAGTCTGCATGACGTCTCTCACAAATATGCAAGATGCAAAATCGGTGTCCAGAAATCAAAAGCACAGAATAATCGTTACAAGTGGTAGTTATCAGTCCGTAAAACAATGCCGAGGTCAAAACAATAGAAGGAAATCTAAAATAGTACAGTACGTATCACAATCCACAACGAGTGAAGCAAATAAGATACGAGAAGCAAATAAGATATATGTACATAGATATGTAGATGATTGCCGGGTAACAATCAATGTCGATCGATGACCACAGATTATGTAACTTGACGATGACAAATAATGTCCCGTTGTACGTAATTGAACTAAACGCTTGGTTTACTATGAGGCTACATAATCATTTTTATGATATGAATCCAATACATAATAAATCAGCATAGTAGTTGATTTGATGCCTACATACTAATTGAATTAAATTACAATTAACAACTATACAGAAAAACGTGAATATAAAGTCCTTTCATACGTGAAATAAATCGTAATTAGGTGCGTTCCAGTGCGGTCAGAATCCATTATTTTAAATAATTTCGGAACAATTACAAAAATAAAAGGAAAACTTTTTTTGTGGCTACTTAGAGAGGTATTTTTTGTGTTTTTTAAAACCTTAAAAAATAAGGATATTTATCATAAATATTTCATACAGCGACACCATCGTTTCATCATCTGGTACGATTTGGCCAACCTTCTTTGACCTCTGTAGTACATATAATTTTTACTATGGAAGTTGCACCAGCCTGACCGCTGTGCTACAGTTGTGTCTAGCAACGGTGGCGCGGCGTTAACTCGTCTCGAACGCGAGCGAATACCTACTAGGCTAGCAAGACCCTCATATGACCTATACCTAAATGTGCGAATTTGTGCGTTCGTGGATTTTTACTGTAACCACAACATTCTTCCGGAATTAGTATAATTAATTTAATAAACAATCAATGCATAAACATGTTTAAGTAAAAATTCAGCGTATGTATTATGATTATAACATAATATGCTAATTGGGGTATCTGAGGATATGCGTTAATTACGTTATATGTTGTATATGTAATTTTTAAGAGGATATTTTAGTAAATAAAATGTTCAACCCTCTTTCTACACATTTCAGCTGGGCTACTGTTTCTGAGGTCTGTTAAAACAAACACTGAAACACTAAATCTTTTATGGAATATTTTATGCCTTGAAACAATATAATTACTTACTTTAAATTTTCAGAACATCAACACCGCTATCGTTATCTATTTTATCATTTATCATTATAAACTAAAAACGCGATGTAACCGTGCCAAACGTCTTTCAATTCCTGTAATGAAGATAACGTAAATATTGTTAAAAATGAAAGTGATCTTAGCTTTATATTGTGCTTTAGTTTTGACTTCATTTATAGAAATAAAGAAAGTGTATTCATTGAATATATTAGGAGTGTTCCCATACCAAGGAAAAAGTCACTTTTTTGTGTTCGAACCATATTTAAAGGAGTTAGCAAGAAAAGGACATAACGTGACAGTGATATCATATTTTCCTCAAAGTCAACCTATAAAGAATTACCATGACATAAGTCTGGCCGGAAAAACAAAAATTTTTGAAGAGGTTTTCCCAATAGAAAACTCATATTGGACTATTATCAAAGTTCCTTTCTTTGTCGTAGAAGCAGGAACGCAGAATTGTAAAACTATGCTGGAAAACAAGAATGTACAAAATTTATGGAAAACGAAATCCAAATTTGATGTCGTTGTTACAGAGCAATTTAACAGTGACTGTTCTCTAGGATTAGCGCACGTATTAAATGCTCCTGTAGTTGGTCTCACTTCCCATGCTTTGATGCCATGGCATTTCAGCAGATTTGGTGTTCCCTTTAATCCTTCATACGTATCTTTTATGATTTTGAGTGGTGGAACGAAGCCTACTCTATACCAGAGATTAGAAAGAACTATATTTGATACATATTTAAAGTTAACTTATAAGTATTTCAGTCAAAGAGTAGATCAAAACACACTTGCTCAGTATTTTGATGATATTCCTCCTTTAGAAGAACTGGGCCGTAACATCAAATTTCAATTACTGTACACTCATTTTGTTCATTTCGGTTCAAACCTCTTACCACAAAATGTGATAGAGGTTGGTGGATACCATGTTGCAAATCCTAAGCAATTACCTGAGGTAAGTTTTAATTAAATACAATTTAGTAACATACATAATACATAACATTTACTAAATTAATATTTTAAGTAACACTAAAGCAACAACAACTAACAAATATTCACGATTAACAAACTTATGCTCGATAATAAATTAAACGCTAATATTCTTGTGGTTTTTGATGAATCAGTAAATTAATCAGTTCTTAATTACAGTAAACAATTTAATATATATGCGACAAAGACGATAGCGTCTAATAATTAATATCCACTATCTAAAACGTGACATGATTGTAGACATAGCGATACGGGAATTATCATGATATAACCGACCCATTTACAAGAATTTTAGATACGGATGGGTTTACAATTCCTAGAGGTACAAATTCTCATCTCTATACCACATTTTATTCTAACAGTATAACTTGAATAAGTGCTGAATTCTTGTAGCAACAAATAAAATGTAAATTATAACAATGATTCGTTCCAAATTAGCTTCTGTGTATATTACTTACACAAAAAACTAGTGTTGTGATATACTCGTAAAGTAAAAGCCAGCTCGCTTTCTCTCCTCAAAGAACTAAAAGAGTTAAAGAATAAAATAACTTTCACATAATATAGATATATCAAGCTTCTTCAATGCTAAGACGTGGTGTGTAGAATTATTAAAACTCCTGCTTTAGAAACTATTATGTAGAAAATATTTTATTATTTTTAGTTATTGGAAGTTATTTAGTTATTTGAGCTTTTGCTTTTTATTAAAAGTTAAAGTTTAAGTAAGTAAAGAAGTTGTTTTTACCCCTTTTGAGTGGACTTAGTAAAACCGCAGGTTTAAATGTCTTCCTTAACGTTATACTAAAAATTCGTCTCCGATTTGTCCAACCTGAACCTCACCTGAAGTATTTTAATATAAAAGAATCACAAAAATCGGTTCACAATTGACGAGTAACGTAGATACAAAAACAGAACATACATTTAAATTGAGAACTTACATAACATTCCTTTTTTTGAAGTCGGCTAAAAAGTTTATTAAAATGTTACACAAAAACATTCACAGTTGTCTAAAAACATATTGTGATATTTTTATGTAATTGTTTTTACAATGACAGACACAAAGGCTGTTAATGTAATTCTAAATAAAGTTTAATCCTCGTTCTTAGGGCTTAAGCAAGTTTATCGAAGCATCTCCACACGGAGTGATTTATATAAGTTTTGGATCTATGCTAAAGGCAGGTTCAATGCCTAGAGATAAAATAGACAGTATTTTAAGCGCTCTTGTGGAACTTCCTCAAAGAATTATTTGGAAATGGGACGCAAAATCTTTACCAGGAAATCCAAAAAATATATACCTATCTAATTGGTTACCGCAAAATGACGTACTAGGTATAAAAAGCATTATTTCATTAAATACATTTAGATCTTTGCTTCAGTTAAAGATTTTAATATATTTTAATGTTAATCGACAGCTCACCCGAATGTGGTGGCATTTTATTCACACTGTGGTCTACTGGGAATAACAGAAGCACTGTATCATGGAGTTCCAGTATTAGGAATGCCTATTTTTGGTGACCAACCAGCAAATGCTGCAGCAGTTGAAGAAAGTGGTCTCGGAGTACAAATTCAACTCAAAGAACTCACAAAAGAAAGTCTTTTAGAAAAGTTCGAGATGATTTTAAAGCCTGGGTAAGAAGAGCATAATTTTTTAACAAAATTTTATTATATTTTAAATAGATTAGTCCGTCTTCCTTTAAACAGTTTTTATTTTTATAACTACATATTTGAGAACTACATAAATATGTTCCGTTGCATATTCTAATAAATGAAATTGAATACACAGGTTCCGAGCTAAGGTTAAGTTACTATCACAAGCATGGCGAGACCGCCCGACCTCGGCTATGGAAAGTGCGGTACATTGGACAGAGTTCGCCGCTCGTTATCAAAACTTAACGTTTAGATCAGCAGCAGCTGATGTGCCTCTCTACCAATACTTATGTCTCGACATTTTATGTATTCTACTTGGTATACCAGCAGTAATCATGTTAATAATCTTAACATGTATTTTGAATTGTAATAAAGAATCTCAGCAATCAACAGATAATAAGAAGAAGTCTAAGGAGGAATAAAATAAAAAATGTTCATATAATTATAATAAAGAATATTAAAATACTTGAAGTTAAATAAATTACTTTACTATTCATTTATTTTAAATATTCTCATAGTCTTTTCGATACTTAAAAAGCGACCGCTTATCTGCATAATCGCGTAACATAATCAATCATCTTATTTTGTCCCATTAGTGTCTTAAAAAGTGTCAAAGTGTACTAACTAGACTATGATAAAATAAAGATTTCGTTATAAGAAAATGCATATGTATATATTTATTAGAGGATATGATAGAACAATAATAGTTTGCATAATTGTGAATGGAAGAATGAGAAGCGCATTGGTAGATATAAAGATTTACGGAGATAAGGTAATATAGGGACGGATCGTAACTTGGTCTTATACTGGATAAATGGTCAATTAAGAAGTTAGCGGGGCCAGGATTGCTCTTCTCCTAATTCACATGTTTCATTCTTAGACGGACTAGATTAACGGAACAGATCACCATCATCATCATTACAGCCCTTCACAAATCCACTGTCGAACATAGGTCTCTGACATGGAATGCCACAAAGCACGGTCCTGAGCAACCTGCATCCATCGACTTCCTGCATGTCTTACCAAGTGGTGACTCCATCTAGTGGGGTGCGCCCTACACTTTGCCTGCCAGTACGAGGCTACCACTCGAAAACCTTTTTTCTCCATCAGTTATCGGTTCTTCGAGCTATATGACCAGCCCATTACAACTTCAGCTTACTAATCCGTTTGGCTATGCCGATTTCTCTGCTTTTACTGCGGATATCTTCATTTCTAAGTTTATCACGCAGAAAACCCCATGTATAGCCCTCTCCATAGCTCGCTGAGTGAACTTGAGATTGCTCATATGGCCAATAGTGAAGGAGCAGAACTTTTTTATTCAATATAGATCATAGATTATAGAATAAAGTCACTATTTTGTATTAATACCACTGGTTCGAAAAAAAACCTCTGTCCTGGGAAGAACAAGCAAAAAACCCAGGACCCAGCAGGACATTTTTTTTAAAAACAGCTTACAATCATGTATGTTCCACAATTAACAACACGACAAATTAGAAATAGCTTGGTAGCGATCACCACATTCACATGTGTTATTATCATCTCTAAATTCCTTAATATTATTAGAACCCTTTTTATACCAACTTAGTTTAATACAGACGGCTCCGTGGCGCAGTGGCTTAGCAATGAGTTGCTGCGCTGGGGGGCGCGGGTTCGAATCCCGCACGGAACAAGTATTTGTATGGCCTACAAATGATTGTTCCGGGTCTGGATGTTTGTCCTTGTGAAATTTGTGTTTGTAAACTGCCTCCACGATACAGGAGAAAATCCTAGTGTGGGGGTAACGTTTTTTAAAAAAAGAAAAAAAAAGTTGTTGAGTTTTGAGTAGATCAAATTTTGTATATTTCCTGGGATTTTGATGTAAAAGCGTATTCATCGCCCCAAGAATGAATTGCTGACTCGGTGGAGTCGAGTAAGTGGTACTACTAGCTCGTGTCTGTTTCTAGTATTTAAACAATGAATTTTCCTTATTTTTGTAAAACTATTTTTATTTTTGTGTACGTACATTAAAATTTTCATAAATGTATTGAGAGGCAAAAGCTAATATATTAATTTCCTTAACTTTTTGTCGCAGCGACTCTTTAGGCTTAAAGTTATAAATTGCTCTTATGGCCCTCTTCTGTAAAACAAATATAATTTCAGTGTCAGCTGCATGTCCCTACAGCAAAATGCCATACGACATTATGGTATGGAAATAGCTAAAATAAACTAGTCTAGCTGTTTCAACACTGTTAATATTTCTAATCCTTTTTGCAGCATATGCTGCAGAACTAAGTCTGCTTGTTAGTTTTGATATATGGGGGTACCATTGAAGCTTCGCGTCTAGTGATTTTCCAAGAAAAATGGTGGTATCGACAAGACTCAGTTCCTCCCTATTTAAAATTACATTGGTATTTAATTGTTTGACATTTGGAGTCATGAATTTCATACATTTCGTTGTAGTGCCATTTAAATGCAAATTATTAACATTGAACCAATTTACTAACTTAGATATAGCATTATTTACTTCGTAATATTTTAGTAATTGTCTGAAATTGAAAATTAAAGAAATGTCATCAGCAAATAATAATATGTCATGGTTATCCCCTATTATGTAAGGTAAATCATTAATGTATACGAAAAACAGGAAGGGCCGAGAATTGAGCCTCGAGGCACGCCCATTTGTTCCTGTACTGTACATTTCTTGCTGGTTCTTCCCAGGACAGAGGGTTTTTTTCGAACCAGTGGTAAAGTAAAAAATGACTTTCAATAAGAATTACAAATGTAATGTATATTGAATAAAAAAAAATTCTATTCTATTCTATTCTACCATCGACACGACTTTTTGCGTTCTGTTACTTAAATATGAAATAATTAATTTAAGAGCATCACTTCTTACACCGTAGTATTGAAGTTTCCTCATTAATATTTCATGGTGTACACAATCAAATGCCTTGGATAGGTCACAAAATATACCCAAAGCATCCTGTGAGGTCTCCCATGCATTAAAGATATATTTAGTTAGCTCAAAACCGGCATTAGTTGTCGAGCGACCCCTTGTGAAACCAAATTGATTTTATGTAGTAAATTATTTAAAGAAATTTGACATTTCATCAAGAATAATATTTTCAAAAATCTTACTAAGTGTTGGTAGTACAGAAATAGGTCTAAAATTGACAGAGTCTAATGTACTACCAGATTTAAATAAAAGTAATACTTTACTATGCTTCATTAAATCAGGAAACGATAGATGAGGCGCGATTATATCTATTATAGACGCAATAACTTTAACGAAAATCCCCCACATATCTGCAGTTTTCTTAATATCAATACTTTTAAAATATTTTACAATATCTTTTGATGATACTTAATGAAATGTAAAATTTTTGTACACGCATTTACATTTTGTTTAAATAATGATTCTGCGACGACAGGAGAAAAGTTCAGTAACTTAGTGGTTAAGATCGGAACATCAGTAAAATATTTCTCAAAAACCATTGCATCGTCCTGATCTGATTCACGTCCGTCACGTTTCTCTGTGGCTATTAGCTAGACATAATAAAATTACCTAAGAATAAATATATTTTCATAACTATCATTTTAATAGATAAAAATTATATATTGTACCCGTATAAAGGTCCACAACTGAACATGGTATCTATCATAGATAGCTTAGAGGATTTTACCATAGTAGCCACGCTTAGCGTGTGGGTTGGCAACCGCTGTTTTTATTATTTTGAGTTGTCAGTTGTATCAGGATGATAGTTTTAGTTTTTTTTTAGTTACCCTCTGTCACCTCTTACGACAGCCATAGGACAAAGTGGTTAGAAAGGATTAAAAAAAAACTTGTAACCTGGTGCGTATGTTTTGGTTGCATGGTCTTTCGCATCACATATTATTTTTATACCGCATGTACTGTGATGTAAAACACATTAATATTGAAAGAGATTAATATTGTAACAAAATATGACGTCGTGAAAGAGAAGTATCGACATAAAATTGTAAAAAAGTAGGACTTAGAAAGGAAAAATCAAAAAAGGACGAAAGAAATGATAGAAAACCATCTGATATTTTGATATCTGATGTTTATAATTCGTTGAGCTAAATAATAAGTGTATGAGTTTGGAATGTGTGTTTAACAAATGATGGTATACGTGATAAATGTATATAACGAAGAGAGAATGCAGGACAAGAAGTGTAAATGTGGCTCTTCACTCTATTGTGGGAAGTAACAATATGTCAAAAAGGCACGTAGTCGGGTGTGTGAGAGTAAATTAATTCTTAAAGTATGCGGTCATTAAGAACGTCATACGTACGTCAGGGGTCAGAGAAAAATATGGTTATAAATATTTATTATTTTCGTTTGACTGTAATTTTGTCATGCAAAATAAATATGTTAACATTAAATAAATTTCAAACATTGTGTAAATAAAAGTAGGTAGGTATTTGAAAAGTTATAATTTAGATACATCGCATATTATTTTAAATGTCAAAAAGATAAAGTACGTATGTCATAATCACAACATTATTATTCCGGGTTAAATGTCAATAAAATAACTCTTAGTAATATAATACCAACGTTGGATATCAGTTTAAGAGGTAGATATACACAAAAAAGCCAACTATAAAAATTGAGCACCGAATGTGGTAGCATCGTTTCCGAGAAATCTGAGATTTTGAACGAGATTGAGTGGTACTACTGATAGCTGTACATGTCAATATTGGAGCTGCACGCGAGTATGAGTAACATTCCAAAAACAAGACTCATCCGACACTACTCCGATGATTAGAGATTAGAATGGCTCTACCGCACCTTAAAAACGGCGACAGAGTATCTCACTCACTGTTGATTTGCCGACAATATAGTCCTTATGGCGAATCCCTAGTATCATGGTACAAAACAAAAGTCATGTGTAACGTCCATGTCACACCTATGCCGGAAATTGTAGTTATTAGAACCAATGTAACTGACGAAGCCCACTGAATAAGTAAGCTTTTCTTTTTAAACTGTTTCTTAGAATAAGGATGTCAAGCGAACACAAAGTCCACCTGATGGTAAAAGGATGCTGCGGACCATAGACATTTGGTACAGGGTTTCGGTGGAAAACCTATTGGGCCTACAGTACATTACTTTAATCAAGGATCTTTGCGCCCTTTCTAGATCTATAAAGTATGATTTAACTGCTCATCCTCATACCGAAATGCAGTAGATTATTACGGATTGGGCTAGTGCGATATACGAGTATATTTTATTTAGTAGTGTGTATGAGTACCGACATCACGTGTTTCAGAGATTTGAAAACCCACATAAGCTTCCTTACCCTCCCTATAGTTAGTTCTAAGTGTGGATACCAACTTAATCTCTGATCCAAAATGATTCCGAGGTATTTAAGCTAGCTTTCTGAATTATTGGGCAATTACATGTATAACGGAAAGGAGTACCACA